GAACGGAATGGTCACACAGATTAGAAAGTTGCAACTCTGAACAGTTTTTTTAAAATATCAAACTTTTGTTACTCTTTCCAACAATAATAAAATAAGATGCAAAGAACTGGAGAACCAGAAAAGCAAACCAAGACTGAGAAATACATGAGCACATAATAAATTAGCTAAAAAATCAAGTGAGAGTATTAGAGGCAATGGCTTATAAAAGGTTGAAAAACTTGCCAACATAACATGGAAATAGAAAGTAGTACAAAACAATACACTCATGAAACCCCCTACACAACTCAACAACAACTCCAGTATTTCAAGGCACCACCCAGCCAACTGAGGTCAAAGCTATTTACCACTGTGATCTTCTCATGCAGCAGCCAAATACATTCCTCCCTGGAAGGCCAGCAAGATGCATCAGAAATGAGGTATCAGACTTCAGTGAGAAGCAGAGTACACCCTTGCCTACTCCACTCTTCCTCCTTCATGCACGCTTTGCCTCACCCATGCAGCACACATGCACACAACCCTCTGCTCTCCAGCCTTCACTTGGGGGTTTGTCTATATTTTTTTTTAACTACTAAAGAGTTCCAACAGCATTCCCCTCAGCAGGAAAGAATCCCTATCCTAACTGATGTATTGCAGTGTCTCATGAGTGGAGCTAACCACACATCTTCACAAATGAAAATATGAGAACACTCTGCATACCCACCTTTGCCTCGTGCTGCCCAGGCAGGAGCAGCACCCACCTGCACCCACAGCTGCTTCCCACACAGCTCCACCTGTGACAAGCAGATGTGGTGGCAAAACCTAGACTTGCCTGTGTTTGTCCTGTTTGTTCCAGTCTAGTCAACTTATCAGGCCTAGCACTTATTTAGATATTCCTGGGAAAGTTTTGTTTTGAGGAGGACTTATGCTTTTTTATTTACTTACCATTTTCAAATATTAGAAATGCTGGTAATACACTGAGACTCTTCTCTAGTCATTACTGTCACAACAAAACCAACATCTGATGAAATAATTTCTGCCCAGATGTTCAACTCCAACACAGCCCCCTTAAAACCCTCCCCATCCCAGCAGGGGTGTTGATGTTAACAGCGTAGTCTTTAACTAATTCCTTCCTGATGTGATTTATTTTTGTCTACCCTTGCTTCACTGAAGATAAGATTTGGAAATACAAAACACACCAGAAGACAACATTCTACTTTTCTGGCACATCACTACATAGACCATGAAGACAGGAAACATCACCAGTGAAAATCCTATCTTAATACCATCTAAAAACAGCAAAAGACAAAATTGAATTTTGAGTCTTGTTTGGTGGAAGCAAAAATATTCCAATAAATATGGACGAACTTAAACAATCAAGCTGAAAGGAATAGTAATTACCAAATGACAAAACTATTCTTTCCCTTTAAGGCACTAGTTCAAGCCAAATGCAAGAGTAGTCCTGAGGATTAAAAATGGATTGGGACTCAGTCTTGCTATGGACTTCCTGTGTGACCTTGGGTAAGTCACTTGAGAATTTAGTTCTCAAAAATAACAGGCCTATTATAGCTGCCAGAATGAAGCACCAATGTTTCTGAGACCACAAATGAAAGACAGGGTTCTGCTTACTTGCCCAAAACAGAAAAGATCCCAGGTGTGAGTCCTCTTGAAAAATGTAGGTAACAACCACCAAAAACTCAGGAATACCGATGTTAATCAGCTGAAAGTTAATCTGGGACTGTACTTTGCAATATGGTACAAAAGCCTATATAAAAACAAAGTAATTTTTGGGTTTCAACCTCTAGTTTTGGCAATTTGAAACCTATAATGAGTAGAACTCTTATGACTTCCAGAGACTCAGAATGTACTGTTTACAGTTGACAAAGCACACCTACTCCAATCAGCTCACAATATCAATTAGTTAAATGTTTTTGAAGTGACTTCAAACAGCTAATGACTTCAGCAATAAGCTTATATTTTTGGTAAATAATAATGACTGAATTTAGAAGCGGGGATGCTTAAGAGGCATTTGGCCAGATAGTGTAGTTTCAGCAGTTTCTCTGCAATAGAGAGCAGTTGATCAAAAAACAGTTAAAAAACCCTGAGTAAAAAACATACAACCCAAGTTTCACAGAAGTTAATTCTATTTCTTGACCATTGTAATAGAGAGTCCCACACGTTAAAAGTGTCTGCCATACCTCATTGGCATTTTAAACTCTATTAAAACAGATGTTTCCACATGAGGAAAGGCATTACAGTGATATTTTGACTTCAGAGTACTTCAGCCTCTCCCCCAGCACTGGAAAACATCTAGAAGAAAAAATTACAGGCTAATACCACAACCAGAGTCTTGGTGGGGAAGGAAGGAGGGAACAGCTGTAGAAGCCCTTCCTCCTGCTTTGTCCACAGAGGAGCTGCTTACAGAGAGCAAGAGCCCAGCCAAGGTCAGTAACACCAATTAACAGGACCTGTCATAAAGCCCAAAGTCCTCAGAAACCCCTCCCCATTGAGTCTACCTGATGTAACTAAAAATATTCAGCAGAAAATTTGGACTGAATTCAAGAAATCAAAGCCTCAAACTTATAAATAAAAACATTGAGTGATTTCTATGAGAGGGAAGCCGAGGTCAGAAGGAAAGTTTCATCTTCTTGCTACTTTTTTATTAACCCTTTCAGCAGCACATGTACAGAGCCCTAGAAGCAAGGCAAACTGTTTCAGGAAACAAATTACCTTTAAAACATCCAACTGCCTCGGGTAATTAATTACCATAAGACAACCTGCTTCACAACTGTTAAAATAACAAGCACTGACTGCTGAGAGAAAAATGAAGAAATAGTGACCTTTTTAAGAGAACTCACACTATATTTCAGTAGCTAACACTAAAACAGAAGTACTACTTGTTTATAAAAGAGAAGGTTTCCTTGGTCTCAAACAGTTAATTCAGTTGTCCATATAGACCTATTCACTGTGCCTGGAATTTTAACTCAGGCTACATTCCACAAATCCCAAATTGCAAATTTAAATTAACAGAGTGAAAGCATGATAGCTATCAAAAAATAAAGGCAAGAGGGCAAGAGAAGACAGGCACAAGCAGGAATGTTGTATCCCAAGTGTCACTAACACCTGACATCCGGCCAGTAGGTAACATCTTGGAGCTAGAAGAAATACGCTTTTGCCTTATACAAAGGGACTTACAGTCTTCTTACAGTTCTTAGCCTAGTAGCAAAACTTTATATGAAAGTGTTACCTAATAGAAATAAAAAAGAGAGAAGAACCAACTGTAAAGCAACTGAAATAGCACTCCAACAAGTCAGTCGACATAACCTTTTAGTAATGAACTCACTGTGACCAAGGCTGGCTTCTATCTTCTCCTCACATGTACCTGACAGCATGCAGAATTTACCCAAATTCATACATTCCTCTTTTCACCATCAAATATGCATCTGAAAACCTGAAGGCATACTTGTATTATTTTCAGAACATCTATATGTTACATTGATATCTTTTCTCACTCTGGGAAGGAAAGTTTTAAATATAAGTTTGTTTTACTTATCTCACAGCATTGCTGAAGAGCAAGACATGTCACTTTTAGTTTTGCTGTTTAATAAAAACTAAGACAATCCCATAACATACATGAGAGAAGCTAAGAAAGCAACTAATCCTGCCTGCAAACCAACTCAGAACAAGAAAACCTTTCCTGATATTGAATCTCTTTGAAGTCTGCTCAGGAGTCTCACAAGAGCGTGGCTATGCAGATGACTGGCAAAAAATACCGAAACCATGTCTCTCTTTCCTCCTCTTCATTTTTCTACCAAAAAAGAGGGAGAAGGGAAATAAGTAGATGGGATGAGAGACTGCCAACCAGCGCTGTGTTTCTGCTGTTATCACATTATCTCAACCCTTTGTTAACTCTTCTGCTGTAGCAGAAGTTGTGTGTGTATTGGCCAGAACTAAGGACAATGACACAGGGCAGTTTTCCTCAGGTAGGAAGTGCCAGATTTCCTTGTAAGTGGAGGCCTCAATGGCAGCACCAATCGGCTCTTGGCTGACCTCCTGGAGGGACCAATAAACAAGGCAGAGAAGGAACCATCCAGAGTTAAGATGATAAGACTGTCTTTCCAGCTAGAGTTAATGCACCAGGATGGCTCCCAAACACAGAGAGGAAAGCAGGAGAAAGAAAGAAAAAACAAAAGTTTACAGTGTAAGATTAGCCGTATTAAGTTTAACAAGAGATAAAGAAAAGTTTACAATACTCAATGCCATAGCTCAGTATCATTAACTGGCATACTGGATGTCTAGTGCAATCTCTCTGTAATAATTTCATATTCTGTGGGAAAATGAACAACATAAAAACGCTTTTATTTTTTATACTACAAACAAGCCAGTTGCTTATGCATCCCCCCTATGCCCATTCTTCATTAACAGAATATACCTGTAAGAACCAAGTGCATTCTGCGACTTTGGGAAAAAAAAGCCTCATACTTATTTATTTTAAAGGTTAAAGGGTTAACATTTTTTTTCTATGCATTTTCTTCAGTAAATATTTGCAAGTCAAACATAAACCCACTGCTGAGAAATCTCTATTATCCAGATTCTATTATCTAACCGATCCTGATGCTCCAATGCACAATGACTTAAGTTGGTTTTAATTCCTCAATAAAAGGAACCAAAACCAGCCTCAGCCAAGACACACTACATTTTACATTACAGAACTAGTTGATAAAGACTCAGAGGCTTTACATAATAAAGTAGGTGCAGGAATGAGATCCAAAAGTGATAAAGATGAAAGATACCTGGAATGATACCAGATCTTATACACCTTTTGTTTTCTGCAAGTGATATACGCTGCAGACAAAACGGTTTGTGCTAAACAGCCTTAAATCTGGTTTTCTAATATTAAGCACAAAGGAAAAACACTGACAGCAAGCGTGGTAAATAAATCCCTCCCTTGAGAATGAAAGCAGCAGACAGGAGGGGGCTGACATGCATGCAGGAGAAAACTAAACACCATCTTTTTTTTCTACCTGCACAAGTTGCCATTTGCTGCAGCAATCAAGGATCTTTTTTCCCCGTCGATTTCAAAAGCCAGGTTTTCAGAAAATTTCTGTCTCAAGTCATCTGTTGATATGCTTTAGGAGTATGGTATTCATATCACTGGATCTTTAAGAGAAAAATCCATTTTCTTTCCTGTTCAGGTAAACATGTTTACAGCTCCTGCACAGACGCTGGGTGGTTCAGACTCACATGTCACACATGTTGTCGTCAGCAACAAGAAAAGCCCCTTTCTCTGATCATCCACATTTTTAATAAGGCAAAGAGAAAAGCACTTTCCAAACTTACCTTTAACACAGCCAAATCATGAGCTAAACATAAATATTTACACTAGGACAAGGAATTAATATCATGAGCATGCAAACAAGAATACTTGCTAGAAAACGCACACAGCAAAAATAAGAAAACCCTCTCAAGTTCAACACAATCAAACCAACCCGTTAGCCCCTGGAAAGGCCGTCATTTATCACCACGTTATGCCCCGAACAGGGAGGATTAGAGAGGTGAAGCACCGATCGTGACTCCGATCTATTTCAGAGACCGTTCACTGCATATGAAAACATCTCAGATCGCAGGCAAAGCCTTCCTATCTGTGACCCTGCACAGGAAATGCCACATAAAACCTAAAATTGCCAAGGAGGGTTACAAAATCGCCTACTCTACATCCTATTCCGAAGAGTCGTGCTACGAGGACCGAACTACTTCTCCATTTTCCAGAAAATAAGTAGAGAGTGGGTGTTACGAGCCTTTATTCCCCCCGCCGTGTACCTTCCCATTGCATCTTAAAGTAACACACGTACCAAAGGGGGAAAAAACACCACCCCAGAGCAGCCCTTAAGCCTGAAATGTAAATGTAATTCCTTATATAGACTGCAGCAGCTGGTCACACACGCACGGAGAGCGGAGCGGGGGCCCCCAGCCAAACCGTTACCACCCATTATTATACAAACAGGTACCTCCGAAGCCAGAGGGAAGGGAAGAAACTTCGCCGGACGCCCCCGCCGCCCGGGCGCAGCCCTCCCTTCCCCACCGGCCCGGCGGGGCGGCCGCGGGGCGCCGCCGGGCACCAACTCTCGGCGGGGCGGGGAGGCGCGGAGCGGGCGGGCGGGCGCGGAGCGGGGGCGCCGGCCCGGGGCGGCCGCGCTGCCCTCGCGCGAATCGCCGCCCGCTGCGGCGGCCGTGCCTCCCCCGCGTGTGCTCCCGGGTGTGTCCCCTCGGGGCCGGCCGGCGTCCCCCACCGCCGCCCCGAGAAAGGCGAGCGCCGGCCGGGGGCGAGGAGCCGGCCCGCTGCCGGGCGAGCGGGGAGGAAACTCCGGCGGGCGGCAGAGGCGCTCCCGGGCGGGCGGCGGGGCGATCCCGCCCGCGGGGCCGGGGGGAGGCCCCGCTCCGCCCGGGGTAGGGCGCAGGTAACAAGTTTCGGAGTTGGGGCTGCCGCGGCCGGGCGGGCGGCGGCCGCTCCCCCGCCGCTGCCCGCGGGGCTCCGCGTCCCCACCCGGGCCGGAGGGCGGCGGCGCGGCCGGGGGCCCCCGAGCCCGCTGCCGGCGGCGGGGCGGTCGCCGGGCTTGAGGGGGAAGCAGCGTGTAACGGTCCCGGACAGCAGCGGAGTGCGGAGGCACCGCTAGGCGGAGGAGGGAGGCGGCGGCGAGGGACGCTGCAGGTAGCGGATATAACGGTGCGGAGGGAGCCGCGCTCCCGGCGAGCCGCGGCGGGGGAATTACTTTGGCGCCCGCCCGACCTCCCCCCGGCGCGCTCGGGACGGCTGTGCCCGGCCCCCGCCCCGGCCCCGCCGCCGCCCCAGCGCGGCCGCGGCGCTGCCCCGCGGGTGACTGACCGTTGTTGCGGCGCGGGTTCGGCTGCTTCCTGCGCTTACACCTGGGGCCATCCGCCATGATCCGCTCGCTGGTGTCTAAATGCTCCAGTCACCTCCTCCCCCGCCCGCCCCCCTCACTCCCTCCCCTCCCCCCCGGACCTGGTTTACGACACTGGGTGGTTTTACTTTTACATCACCTTCCTACACCTAGTGCTCGCCCGGAACCTTGTTGCCACGGGAGACGGGCGCTTTACGGCAGCGCGTTTGAACGGCGGCGAGGGAAAAGTTGCGCCCGCAGGTACCGGGAGCGGCCGCGCCGCCCGGAGGGGCTCGGGCCCCACGACCCTCGCCCCGGCGGCAGCGCGGGGGGACCCCCGCGGGGCGGGACCGGGCTGGGGTGTCGGTGGTCGCCGGCCCCCGGGCGGCGCAGGGGGATCCCCGCGGGGCAGCCCCGCAGCGCCGCGCTGAGGGCCCGGCCCCGCGCCCGCCCCGGTCCAGGTGCGGCCCCGGCAGCCGCCCCAGGTGCGGCGGGACCGCGCTCCCGGCCCGGCTCCCCCGGCCCGCGGGGCTGTCCCGGCGCGGGGCCGCGCTCCCGGCCCGCGGGGCTCGGCTCGCACCTGGCGGGGCGCGCTGCGCTGCGGGCGCGCCCGGGCTCACCGGGACCGGCGGGACCGGCGGCGGCTCTGGCGCGGCTGAGCGGGAACCAACAGCTGCAGCGCAGGGACAGCGTTCCCACCGTGCGCCGTCTGCCGCGCTCGGGCTTGCCTTGCTCGGACTTCCCGGTTTCTCAGAGAGGACGAGAGGTATAAAGCTCTGTGCCTTAACGAATAAAAAGAAGAGAGCAAATTTTCACGGATAACTAATAAGCAAGCTCTGTTGTGCTTAATAAAGTTATTTAATGTATATAAAAATTAAAACCATCAAATACTTGTGCTATTTATTTACTCTTACTTTTCACTTCAGGCAATAAAATAATTTAGTAAGTTTGCTTCTAGGCTTCCTTATTTCCCTTTTTTTTTCTTTATCTTGGCATGTTTCTGTAGAATTTATAGTTCTGTGCTTCTGGGGAACTCTTTTATCTAAAGAAATTAAATGTAATTAAATTAAATTTCAGTGAAAGCATTTCTCTTAATGGGATACTTTCAATAAGAAATTGATACACTACAGAACTTGAGGCCTTCAGCTGTTCTACGCTGTCCTGTTCCACATGCTGTATTTCACATTCTCTAGCAGGTCACCTCATTTCATGGAAGCAGCATAACACGTCTATAGGAAATGAACTATTGAACACTGCAGTTTATGGACATACCTTGCATTTGAAGCTCCCACAAAAGTCTGGACAATCAGAGGTGCTTAGAAAGGAAGTATTGGGCTAAAATGGGTGCAGCCTTAGGTAAAGATCCAAAGGGATATTTTCCTAATCACTTGTACCCTCAAAAACCCTCAAGCCTTGGCTTGGGATACTTGCATGAAAGCAGTGGTTGCAGGTGCCAATCATTTGATATTTCTCAAAAAATCCTTAAGTTTAGGTGGATTGCTTTTACATTTGTATCTTTACTCAGTGATGGTTGGCTGCTGACTTCAGCATTTTAATAAGGCTCTAATGTGTGATGAAAGAAGCAAATCAAACAGTATCAAGTGCTTGATGGACTAACAGGAGTTGTTCAAAAGCATTACATTTGGCATCATCTGGGAGTACTGAACCCCAAATATGAGGATGGCTAGGAATTGCAACATGAAACCAACTATAAGATAAAAGTGAAACTTGTCAGCTCAAATTTCGAGTGAGCAAATTACAAATTTTAAGGCAGAGTTTTGTTTTTAGTTCAGCATCCTTGCTTGTAAAGTTTCTGTGCAGAACATAACCAGTGGCTGTGAAACTGTTTGCAAATAAGTGCTTAAGGTGTTTTGGAATTGTTAGATGCTTTTTATCATTCTGTGGATGAATTTGAGGACAAACCAAAATATGATGTACAATTTTTCAAGCAAAGTTTATACTTCCTTAAATTTAGTCATGTTCTTCTAAGGTATTTGCAAATAATAAATAATATCTGTAAATATATTTGCAGATTTGTAAGAATATTCTCCTGCATATTCACACAAAGTTCCAGGCCCTCTTTAAGCAATTTTGAAGAGCTTATTTTCATTGAGTCTTGTCACTTTTCACCTCTGGATAAGAATTCTTGTCTCTTCCTTTTGAGCAATTTATGTTTCCTAACAGAATGAGAAGAGAAACAGTCTCCTGGTGTTTGTTGTGCTCATTTTCCAAGAGCCATAGTGTCTGGTTGAACTTGAATCTCCTGAGGTTTCCAAGCAGCTGGGAGAAACTGATGACAACTCGTGCTGCCCATTAGTTCCTGAAGAGCAGAACTGAAACTGGCAGGAACATTGGTAGCTGTACACTGCTATAGTTTGGGTAAATGAGAAGAGAAAAATAAAGCAACCTTGGTATATGTTATCTTTGAGACCAAGGAGGTATAGAAAATAAAAAAAAAACCCAGAGATTAATGCTTTGCATCAAGTTATTGATGACTCCAATCACTATTCATTGTGAAAAGTGTCTCGTTGACAACTTGTAAATAGATATTTAGACAGGTTGAGTTTTGGGGGTTTGATTTTTAAACTTTGTTGTATTTAATCCAAGCAACTGGGCACTTAACACATTTGTGTATACAAAGTTCCCATTATTTACTGTGCTAAATTAAGGGTGCAGCCACTGTAAAAGAATTTTTACCTAATACATCCTTCTAATCCTGGATGCAAAGCAACTAGTTAAAATTCCTGTTACCTTTGTCATGTTCTGCAGGACATGAGCATGTTGTATATATAATTTAAACTGGTTTGTGCTTCAAGAATGGAGAATCTGGTTTTCCATTATGGTGCACAGCTTTCAGTCTGACTTGTCTGTCAAGGATCAGGAATTAATTAAGGTATTCATTTGCAAAATCTTAGTGAAGAGGTATATTTCTGCATCCTCCTAAATGTGGCAGTCTTGAGAAGATATCTCTTTAAAGGAGGAATTCTGAGACAGTGGTCATCCATAACAGTTTCTAGTAACATAATTGTATAGGAGTTTAGGCAACCTAAACAGGCATATGGTAGCTAAAACATGAGATTGCACAACTGCTGTACTTCAACTTTTTTTAAATTTATTTCCATTGTCTGAAGACAAGAATTAAAATACTTCCATAGTCACACTATGATGATGTTGTATGGATATGCAAAAACCAGGTAATGATTCTTACAGACAGATTTTTTCCATTTAAAAAATGTTCCTGTATGTTGTGTGTTGTGTTTTGATTTATGATCTCTTAAGTATGTATCATTAAATAAAAGCAATCAGTTCTTTGTTTGTCTTCCTACTCCTTATTGATGCTTATGAAGTGAAGTTTCACATTGTATCTTGATTAGTCTAGATTTAAGGATGTT